ATAATTCTCAGAGATGGGCTCAACTTCCGAAATTAATCGATTTTTTCTTAATTTTCTTGAACTTTGATGTCATTTGATAGAGATTTTCACGATTAATTTTTTTTTGTCGATATCGATATTTTTTTCGATAATGATCTTTTTTGTCGATATTGAACTACGACGATTTTCTTTGTCCTTTTTGCCGTCATCCATTTGTCAATATCGATACCGTTGATAGTTTTTGTCGATACAATACAAATATTCGTTTATTTTTTAAAAAAAATTACAATGAAATTTGCAAAAAAAAAAATAGTTGACATCAATTTATTGTATCGATATTCGTTTTTTTGTCAATATCGATTATTTTTGTCGATATCAATGTCGATTTTTTGGCAATATTCATTATTTTGACGATATCAATTTTTTTAAGTCGATGTCGATATCCATATTTTGGTCGATATTGTTTTTGTTGTCGGTATCGATTTTTGGTTAGCACATATCTTTTCTTTATCGATTGACCGGAAAGAAAATCCCAATTTATGATTAGTTTTCGACTAATTGGCATTTTTATGGAAAAATGTCAAAATTTAATTTTTTCAAATTTTCTATCGATACTGATTTTTTTTGTCCATAATCAATTATGATCTTTTTGGTCGATATTGAACTATTTTGTCCTTTTTGTCGTCATTCATTATTTGTCAATATCGATACCGTTGACAGTTTTTGTCGATATCGATTTTTTTGTCGATACAAATTCGCCTATTTTTTTAAGTAAAATGAAAAAAAAAAATCTATAAAAGAAAAAAAAAATTTCGTCCCGATCAATTAATTATGTCGATATTCGTTTTTTTGTCGATATTGTTTTTTTTTGGGGATTTTTGATCTATTTTTTCGATATCGATTTTTTATCAATGAAGATTTTCTGGCAAAATGTATTATTTTGTCAATATCGATTTTTAAGTCGATATACGATTTTTTTGTACATATCGATTTTTTTTTGTCGATATCAATTTTTTTTTTCAATATCGATTTTTTTTGTCAACATCGATTTTTTTGTCAATGTCGATTTTTTTGACAATATCGATTTTTTTTGTCGATATCAATACAGATTTTTGGGAAAAATTATATATTTCCACATTAGAATTTATTAGTTTTCGAATAATTGGCATTTATGTCAAAATTTGATTTTTTTTTTTTAAATTTTATGTCGATATATTTTTTTTTTTGTCGATATAGATTTATTTTGTCGATGTTGATTATCTATCAATTTTTAGTCGATATCGATATTTTTCCGAAATCGGTTTTTTTGTCATTTTATGTCGATTTTTGAAAAAAAATTCGTTTAAAAAGTGTCTGCAGAAAAAAATAAATAAAAAAACTCGTCGATATCGATGTCGATTTTTTTAGTCAATATCGAATAATTATCGATATCGTCGAACTTCTTTTTTGTCAGTGTCAATTTTTTTGTCTATATCAATTTTTAGTCGATACCGATCTATTTTGTCAATATCGATTTTCTTTGTCGACATTTTCACGGATTAGTTTTGGCATTTATGTCTAAATTTGTTTTTTTTTAAATTATTTTTTCGATATCGTTATTTCGTTGAAATCGATATAATTTTTTTTATCGTTACTGATTTATTTCGCCGATATCGATTTTTTGGTCGATATTGATTTATTTTGTCGATATCGATTTTTGGAGAAAATTCGTTATTTTTTAAAAATAATGAAAAAAAACAAAAAAATTCAAATTACGTCGATATTGATTTATTTTGTCGATATTCGTTTTTGTCGATATGTATTGAACTATTTTGTCGATATCAATTTTTTTTGTCGATAACAATTTTTTTTGTCGATATCGATTTATTTTGTATTTTTTGTCGTCATTCAATATTTGTCACTATCGATATTGTTGACAGTTTTTTTCAATATCGATCAAATTCACAAAAATCATGAAAATTTACAAAAATTCACAATAATCATAAAAATGAATAAGTGTTTTTCTGATTTTTGGAAATTTTAATGATTTTCAAAAACATTTAAAGAATAAGAGTTTCCAAAAATCATGAAAAATTACGAAAATCACAGGAATCATAGAAAACTTCGAAAATCATAAAAATCAAAATTTACGATAATCATAAAAAATTTCAGAAATCATAAACATGTATGAAAATCATAAAAATTATAAAAATTTTCGAAAATCACAACATCTCTAAATATTCACAAAAAATCATGAAAAATCACGAAAATCAAAAATTATAAAAATTCACAAAAATCCAAAAAATTCACAAAAATCATAAAATATTACGAAAATCACAAAAATTCTAAAAATTAGGAAAATTTACGAAAATCACAAAAAATTACGAAAATCACAAAAATTATGAAAAATTATTAAAATCATAAAAAACATGAAAATTTACGATAATTACAAAAATTTTAAGAATTCACAAAAAGTTTAAAAAATTTATAAAAACCATGAAAATTTAGAAAAATCATAAGTTTTCAAAAATCATGGAGATCAGAAATTATAAAAAAATTTAAAAATCATAAAAATTTATAAAATCACAAAGATTATAAAAATTTATGAAAATTACAAAAATCATAGAAATTTACGAAAATCATAAAGATTATAAAAATTTATGAATATTACGAAAATCATAAAAATTATGAAAATTTTAGAAAATCAAGAAAATCATAAAAATTTATAAAAATCATAAAAATTTATAAAAATTTATAAAAATTCAAAAAATCACAAAAATGTAGAAAAATCATAGCAATCATGATAATTTGGAAAAAAAAATTGCCAAAAAATCGATTGACTTCAATAGTTGAGCCCATTGCTAGAATTGATATCGATTTTTACAAAATAAACAAAAAAAAAATATATGTATGTATAAAAATGAAAATTATAAGAATTACTAATAAATTATGTAATAAAAAAAAAAATGAAAATAGGAAAAAAAAATACAGAAAATAACAAAAAAAAAATTATTTAAAATTTAAAAATGGCTAAAAATAAAAAAATAAAAAAAATTCAAAAGTACGTAACAAGTTCGAAAAAAATTTAAAACTGAAAAAAATTCAAAAAAATTCAGTCTGGAAAATGAGAGGATTTAAAAAAAAAAAACAAAAAACATGGAAAATTCAAAATTTTTTAAAAAATTCAAAATGTTTAACCTGGAAAATGAAAGGATTTAAAAAAAAAATCAAAAAACAAAGAATTCAAACATTTTTAGAAAATTTTAAACATTCAAAAGTAGTTGTTTGTCAGTTCGCAAAAATTCAAAATTTTGAAAAAAACCAAAATAAAAAATTTAAAAAAATTCAAAAATTCAATCTGGAAAATAGAAATTTTTTTTAAAAAAATCATAAAACATGGAAAATTTAAAAATTTCCAAAAAATTCAACATTTTTAAAAAATTCAAAACTACTGGTCAGTTCGAAAAACCTGGAAACTTTTAAAAAAATTAAAATAAAAATTTCAAAAAATTCAATCTGGAAAATGAAAGTACATATTTAGAAAAAAATCTAAAAACATGGAAAATTCAAAAATTTCTAGAAAATACAAAATAAGAAAACTACAAAAAAAAAAGAAAATTATCAAAAATACAAAATTACTAAAAAATACAAGTAGAAAAAAAATACAAAATTATCAAAAACGAAAAGTTATAAAAAAATATAATATGTATGAAAGAAAATACAAAATTAACAAAAAATTACCAAAAAATACAAAATATGAAAACTACAAAAAAACAAAGGAAACAACAAAAATATACGAATTTATGAAAATTGCAAAAAATAATATGATAATAAAACATAATTACAGAAAAATAAAAAAAAAAAATTAAAAATACAAAAACTATGAAAATAAAAAAATTATGAAATAATACAAAAAAAAAAGCACGAAAAATACGAAAATCACAAAAAATACCAAAAAATAGGAAAAATATACGAATTACTAAACAAATTCAAATACACAAAAATTATTAAAAAAAACACGAAAATTATTATAAAATACAAAAAAATCTAAAAAAAAAAAACAATTTTTTTTTTCCAGTCCAAAACCGAAAGCGGCTCGCAAGGGACAAACAGCACGAGCGCCTTTTTGAATACCAGAAGTACCACATCGTTTACAAATTAAACTTAAATAAAATTTATGAATTTTTATTTATTTTTCCCAGGAAAAAAAAAAAAACTCCATAAAATACAGTTAAATACTTTTATTTTTTTATTCCATCAATAATAATAATAATAACATAACACTATACACTTAATTATTTACTATTTATTATTAAACAATTAGTTATTGTTAAATTAGTAGTATAGCTAGGCAACCTCTGCAACACAACCGGGTCTCTATTTAATTTATTTATTTTTTTCAAATTAGAAGATACACAGCTATTTATTATTTATAAATACATTTATTTATTTATCGTCATGTAAAATCTATTAAATACCTATTCTAACAATTTTTTTTAATTTTTTCCATTTTTAAGTCAAGAAATACAACTTTTTTTTTATTTTTCACAAAATCCCCAAAATGACTAATTATTGTTCGTTGCCTTTATATAATCGTGAATACTGACAAGCTTTACACATCTACCTAATAATTTATATTTTTATTTATTAAATTGAGAAAAGTTGTTAAAATTCCTTAGACCGTCAAATGGTTTTATATATTGTCTCGTAACAATTATTACAAGATTATACAATTATTGGGTGCTTATTACACAACTACCTATTTAGCTACAAAAAAACTTAACAAGAGGTACTGTTTTAAATTAATTAATTTTGGTTAATTAAATTTAATTTAATTTAATTTAATTTAATTAATTATTGCAATGTTTTTTTTTTTTTTATTGTAAACAATACCTCATAGCCCTACTAGGCAGTGTTTATATCATTATACATACTTATATGTATATTTTTTTTTTAGCAAGCAGTTAATTACAAAAACAAAAAAACAACGTTTCGTCTTTTTATAAGATCATCATCATGACTACAATACATTAAATAATAATTTACATGTCACCGAAAATTCCGGCGAAAGTTTTTCTGAGATTTTTCATTGTGTCTTCGGTGTCTTCGCCGCCAGTGGCGGACTGTTGACTTCCCTGACGTTGGAACGGACGCGGAGGCGGTTCCGGAAGTCGGCCGCCCGCGCCGCCACTGGCCGTACTAGTCTGTGAAACTAAAAGAGAAAAGGAAAATGTACTTTAAATTTTTTTTCTAGTTTCAATTTCTTATTTATTCCAAGTTCTTGGATTTTCTTTTCTAAATTGAAAATTTTAGAACTTTTAACTCGGAAACTATCGGAGCTGCATCAAAATGTTCTTATAAGGATTTGTAGAGAATTTAATCGGCTTTATTTTGAGTCTAATTACATCAAAATCGGATTAAAATTAACGGAGTTATAAGGAAAAATATGTGTCAGTGTCATCAATATTTTTTTGCAATTATCGATTAATAATCGATGATGCTTTTTGTCAATATCAATTTTTTTTTCGATGCAATTTTTTTTTAGTCGATACCGATTGATTTTGTGGATATCGATTTCTTGTCAATGTTAATATTCAATCTTTTGTCGATATGGATTTTTGAAAAAAAAATTGTTCGAAAAAACTTGAAAAATTCAAAAATAAGTACAAGATTCAAAAAATTGAACAAATCCCTCAAAATTCAAAAATACATATACAATTAAAAGAATTCAAAAAACTGGACAAATTCAAAAAATTTGATATAAATTCAAAAAAAACTTTTAATAAATTTTTTTGGATTTGTATAGTTTTTTTTTTGAATTTGCATTTTTGAATTTTTTTAATTTTTCAAGTTTTGAATTTTTTTTATATTTTTGGTTTTTTTTTAGACTTGTTCGGTGTTTTGAATTTGAATTTTTTAAATTTTTAAAGACTTGAAATTTTTTTATGTTTTCAAGTTTAGGATTTTTGATTTTTTTTTTTACATATTTTTGTATTTTTCGATATTTATGGATTTTTTTGAATTTTTCAGTCTTGATTTTTTTTTAATATATTTTCGAATTTGTCATGTTTTTTTAAATTTTTTTCATATTTTTTAGTTTTGTGAATTTTTTCATATTTTTTGGATTTGGTTTTTTGAATTTTTCAAGTCTTGAAATTTATTTATACATATTTTCGAGTGTGGATTTTTTCAATTTTTTTGAATTTGTCTATATACATATTTAAATTGTTTTGTATTTTTGAACTTTTTGATATTTTCTGATTTTTTTTTGAATTTGTCCAGTTACTTGAATTTTTTCGATCAAGTCTTTAATTTTTTTTGAGAAACTTGAATCTTTAAATTTTTCTTATAATTTTGAATTTTTTTATATTTTTGATTTTTTTTGGGTTTATCTAGTTTTTTTAATTTTTTTTTGAATTTTTCAAGTCTTGAATTTTTTTTTATATTTTTGAATTTTTTCATATTCTTGAATTTCTTTGAAATTGTCCAGTTTCCAGTTATTTGAATTTTTTTGTATTTTTGAATTTATATGAATTTTTTTCATATTTTCGAGTTTAAGCTTTGTTAAATTTTTTCCATATTTTTGAATTAAATATTTTCAGATTTCGATTTGTCCAGATACTTGAATTGTTTTGTATTTTTGAATTTTTTCAAGTTTTGATTTTTTTATTTTTTTGATTTTATAGAGACTGAAAAATTCAAAAAAAAACTGTATTTTTGAAGTTTTTAAAAATTTTTTAAAAATATTTTTGAGTTTAAAATTTACATATTAAGTGTTATTCGGATTTTTGATATTTTGGATTTTTTTTAGATTTGTCGTCCAGTTTTTTGATTTTTTTTGGATTTTTTCGAATTTTTCAAGTTCCGATTTTTTTATATTTTCGAAATTATTATTTTTTTTTTATTTTTTTTTATATTTTTTATATTTACGAGTTTTTCAAGTTTTTTCAATATTTTTAAATTTTTTGATATTATAATTTTTTTGCATTTTTGAATTTTTTCGAATTATTCAAGTCTTGAAATTATTTTATATTTTCGAATTTGATTTTTTTTCAATTTTTTCCATAATTTTGATTTTTTTTTTTGAATTTTTCTAGTTTTTTGAACTTTTTTGTATTTTTGAATTTTGTTTCTAGTCTATTTTTTTTTTAAATTTTAAAATTTTTCAAGTTTTTTTCATATTTTCGAATTTTTTGATATGTACCTAATACATATAGTACATATCATTAAATTAAAAAAAAACAAAAATTCAAAAAAAAAATCCCAAAATCAAAAATTCATATAAAAAAATTCAAGATTTGAAAAATTCAAAAAAATAAAACAAAATTCAAAAAATTGGAGAAATCCAAAAATATCAAAAAATAAGAAGAATTCAAAAATTCAGAAAACTCGACAAATCCCAAAAAATTTAAAAATATAAAAAAAAATTCAAAAAAACCCAAATTCGAAAATATAAAAAAAAAATTAAAATAACTTGAAAAATTGAAACAAAATCAAAAATACAACAAAATTCAAAAAATTGGACAAATCCAAAAAAAATCAAAAATATCATAAAATTACAAAAACTCAAAAAATTGGAACAATTCAAAAAAAAATCCTAAAATCAAAAATTCATATAAAAAAAATTCAAGACTTGAAAAATTCAAAAATACAATGAAATTCAAAAAACTAGGTAAATCCAAAAAAAATCATAAATTGTATATCGAAAAATTCAAAAATTTGTAAAAACCCAAAAAAACTTGATAAACTCGAAAATATTTAAAAAAAATCAAGTGTTGAAAAATTCAAAAATACAACAATCTGTATTAAAAAAATTAAAAAATCTAAAAAAATTCAAAAATATCGTAAAATTAAAAGAATTCAAAAATTCAAAAAACTAGATATATTTAAAAGTCAATAAATAGAAAAAATTCAAAAAAATAAATTAAAAAAAAATTCAAAACTTAAAATATTCAAAAAATTCGAAAGACTAAACAAATCCAAAAAAAATCATAAATTAACAAATTCAAAAATTTGAAAAAACCCAAAAAAAACTTAATAAAATCGAAAAAAAAAAAAAAAAAAAAAATTATGACTTGAAAAATTCAAAAATACACAACAAAATTTAAAAAATTAGACAAAAATCCAAAAATATTCAAAAATTTGAAAAAACCCAAAAGAACTCGATAAGCTCGAAAATATGTATAAAAAACAAAAAACAAAAAAACTTAATCAACTCGAAAATTTAAAAAAATTCAAAACTTGAAAAATTCCAAAAAAACAGAAAACTGAACAAGTCCAAAAAAATTCATAAATATCAAAAAATTCAAAAAAACTTGAAAAAATCCAAGACAAAAAATTAAAAAAAATTGAAAATTTCAAAAAAACTGGACAAATCCAAAAATATGAAAAAAATTCAAAAACAATTAACCCGAAAAAATTTAAAAAAAATTCAAAAATACAAAAAAATTCAAAAAATTGAACAAAAAAAAAAAAAAAAAAATCATAAAAATTTATTTGTTTTTTTTTTTAATTTTTAGTCGATATGAATTTTTTTATCGATATTAATTTTTTTATCGATATCAATTTATTTTATCGACATCGATTTTTTTGTTTGTGTCGATTTTTTCGTCAACATTAATTTTTTTGTCAATATCGATTTTTTTGTCGTTATCGATTTTTAGAGAAAATTGATTAACATAGTGAGGTGCACTCCTTTATCGATACATATATTGTTTTTTTTTTTTGAATTTATCAACATGTCGATTTTTTTTGTCGATATGAATGTTTTTGTCGATACGTATTAATTTTTTGTTATTGTCGATTTTTTTTCAGCAAAAATTTTTTTTATCAATTTTACTCTTTTGCCGATATCGATTTTTTTGTCGATATCAATTCATTTGGCATTTTCATGAAAATATGTCAAAACTTGATTCTTTTTTTAAATTTCTTATCAACATTTAATTTTGTCAATATCGATTATTTATCGATATCGCTGATGCTCTTTGTCGATAGTGTTTTTTATTGTGTTGTTTTTTTTTTCTCGATACCGATTTATTTTGTCAATATCGATTTCTTGTCAATGTCGATTTTTTATTAATATTCATGCTTTGATCAATATCGATTTTGGGGAAAATTTGAATTTTTTTACATTATTGTTTTCATTAATATCGATCATTTATCAATATCGCTAATGCTTTTTGTCGATGTCGATATTAATTTTTTGTCAATACTAATTTATTTTGTCGATATCGATTTTTTCTGTCGATATCGATTTTTTTTGTCGATCTCGATTTTTTTTGTCGATATCGTTTTTTTTTTGTCAATATCGTTTTTTCTTAGTCGGTATCGATTTTTTTGTCAATATCGATTTTTTTGTCGATATCGATTAACAAGAAAAGGTTTTTTCAATTAGAATTAATCGAAAAGGTTGGATTTTTTTTAAATCGATAAATTTGAAAAATGAGTGCACGTCACCAATTTTCCCTGGAAATCGATATCGACAAAAAAAAGAATGAATTTTGATAAAAAATCGATGATAAGAAATCGATATCGACAAAATAGATTGGTATCGACAAACAAATCGACAAAATATAAATTTCGACAAAAACATCAAAAATATGGATAAATAGTCGATATTGATAAAAAAATCAATTTTTTTTCAAAAATCGATATTGACAAAATAAATGAATATTAATAAAAAATCGATATTAACAAAATACAATCGATATTAACAAAATAGATCGATATTAATAAAAAACAATAGCAACAAAAGAGCATTAGCGATATCGATAAATAATCGATACGTATTGACAAAAAATGAATATTATTAAAAATAATTTTGACATATTTTCATAAAAATGTCAAATTAATCGAAAAAGTTGGATTTTTTTTTTGTCAATCGATATCGATAAAAAAAAATCGATATTGACAAAAGAATAAGAGTCGGTAAAGGTATCAATAGCGATAAAAAATCGATATGACAAGAATACAATATTGACAAAATAAATTGGTATCGACAAAAAAAAAATCGATATTGACAAAAAATTATTGTCGATTGGAAATTTGTAAAAAAAATCAAACTTCGACATAACTTCTTTATAAAAATGCCAAACTAATCAAAAAAGTTGGAATTTGTATCGATAAAGAAATTGATATCGATGAAAAAGTCGACATCGACAAAAAGCATTAACAATATCGATATTGATAAAAAAATTATTGTCGTTAAAAAATTCAAATTTCAGAAATCAATATTGACAAAAGAATGAATATTAATAAAAAATCGACAATGACAAGAAATCGATATCGACAAAAAAAATAATCGAAAAACAATTTCAACAAAAAGTATAAGCGGTATCGATAAATAATCGATATCAAAAAATGAATGTCGGCATAAAATTGAAAATAAAATAAAATTTTGACATATTTTCATAAAAATGCCAATTATTTTTGAGTAAACTAATCAATTTATCGATTTTTTTTTCCATTAATTAATAGACAAGAGATGACTGCACGTCACTGTGTTAATCACAGATGTGCTAATCAATTTTTTTCAAAAATCGATATCGACAAAAAAAATCGATATCGACAAAAAAATCGATATCGATAAATAATTGATGGAATTGATATTGATGGAAAAATTAATGTTGTTAGAAAATTCAATTTTCCCAAAAAATCGATATTTACAAAAAAATGAATATGTATTGATAAAGATCGATATCGACGAAATGAATAGATATCGACAAGAAAATTGATATCAACAAAAAAAAAATCGACATCCAAAAAATAATAATATCGAAAAAAAAGCATCAGCGATATCGATACACAAACGATATTGACAAAAAATAAATATTGATAAAAAATCGATAGGACAAGAAATCGATATCGATAAAATGAATCGGTATCGACAAAAAAATTGATATCGGAAAAAGCATGAAGAATATCGATAAATAATCGATATTGATGGAAAAATTAATGTCGTTAGAAAATTCAATTTTCCTCAAAAATCGATAATTACAAAAAAATTAATATGTATTGATCAAGATCGATATCGACGAAATGAATAGATATCGACAAGAAAATTGATATCAACAAAAAAAAAATCGACATCCAAAAAATAATAATATCGAAAAAAAAGCATCAGCGATATCGATACACAAACGATATTGACAAAAAATAAATATTGATAAAAAATCGATAGGACGAGAAATCGATATCGATAAAATTAATCGGTATCGACAAAAAAATTGATATCGGCAAAAGCATGAAGAATATCGATAAATAATCGATATTGATGGAAAAATTAATGTCGTTAGAAAATTCAATTTTCCCCAAAAATCGATATTTACAAAAAATGAATATGTATTGATAAAGATCGATATCGACGAAATAAATAGATATCGAGAAGAAAATTGAAATCAACAAAAAAAAATCGATATCGATACACAAACGATATTGACAAAAAATAAAGGTCGAACAATATTTTCTTTAAAATTTAATTTTGATAGATGTATTTTCATAATAGTGTAAAACTAACTAAAATAATCGATTTTACTCAAAAATCGATATCGACTAAAACACCGATATCGACAAAAATTGAATGTTGAATTTTTTTTTTTGTCAATATCGATTTTTGGGGGAAATTGAATTTTTTAACATTTATTTTTTTATTAATATCGATATCGATATTGACGTATATTCATATTTTACTTTATCTATTAAAAAAAAAAAAAAATTCCTTGAGGTTATTTTTAAACAAATTTCACGTTATATGGGTGATGACGTCACCCTTCATGGTTACAGTCAAATGTATCTAAACAAACTTTAAATTATCAGTGATGACGTCATTTTTAAGGTTAATGTCAACTGTATCTAAATAAACTTTACACTATCAATGATGACGTCACATTTTTTGAGGTTATTCCTAAACAAATTTTAGGTTATATGAGTGATGACATCCCGTTTCAAGATTTCGGTCAAATATATTTAAACAAACTCCAGACCATCAGTGATGACGTCACATTTTTTGAAGGTATTTTCAAACAAATTTCAGACTATATCATTGATGACGTCACATTTTTTGAAGTTACTTTAAAATAAATTTCAAATTATGAGTCATGACGTTACTCTTCAAAATCACGGTGAAATGTAACCTTTAGACTATCAGTGATGACGTCACATATGGCTACTTTTCAAGGTTACGGTCAAATGTATCTAAACAAACTCCAGACTATATCAGTGATGACGTCACACTCTTAAAGACTAATTTCGAACAAATTTTAGGTTATATAAGGGATGACGTCACTTTCAAGGTTACAGTCAAATGTTTTAAAACAAACTTCAGAGTATATCAGTGATGACATCACATTTTTTGAATTAATTTTAAGCAAATTTCAAGGTATATGAGTGATGACGTCATCTTCAAGGTTACGGTCAAATGTATCTAAACAAATTTCAAAGTGATGACGTTACATTTTTTGAAGTTTTTTAAAATAAATTTCAGGTTATATGAGTGATGACGTCACCTTTCAAAATTACGATCAAATGTATTTAAGCAAACTTCAGATTATTAGTGATGACGTCACACTTTTTATCGATATCGACTTTTAGAGAAAATAAAATACTTTACCTTGACTATCCCGTCGTCCGACGCTTCCCAAAGTGGGATGCTCAGTGGCGGCGGTCGGGGGCGGCACATCGCCGTGCGTCAAACTACTGATACTGCTCAAAATGCCTCTGGGACCCACCGGAGGCGGCACTGGCGGCGGTTCTTCGCCAGGGGGCGGCGATCTAGGCCTACAAACCGCCGACATTCTCGACGCTACTAAATCAGCGATGTGACGGCGATCTTCTTCTTGACTGTCGCCCAGTAAAGTTAGAGCGCTGTCGTTTATCTGAAATAATTCATATTATGTAGAGTATCGATTTGATATATCGATACTGTATCGATACTGATTTAAAAACACCCGAGTCGAGTCGAAATTCGATTTCGAATTATCAAAAAAGCGATTCTATTTTTCGATACATATCATAGATGAGCTCAACAATAATATCGATTTTTAGAAATAGGCCCTTATCTATCAAAAAAAATCGGTTTTCAAAAATCTATATTAAGATCGACTTTCGATAAACGATATTAACATCTATACATTTTTTTTTATCGATATTGATATTTTTTGTCGATATCGATTTTTTTCCGATATCGATATTTTCCTTTTTTTTTAAATTTTATTCAATATTGATTTTTAGAGCGTTATCGATATTGATATTTTTTGTCGATATCGATTTTTTTTCGATATCGATATTTTGCTTTTTTTTTAAATTTTATTCAATATTGATTTTTAGAAGTAAAATATTTTATATTTTGCAATTTTTGAAAAATTTTATCGATTCCAATTATTGTTACATATCGATATTGATATTTTTTGTCGATATCGATTTTTTTTTCGATATCGATATTTTCCTTTTTTTTCAATTTTATTCAATATTGATTTTTAGAGCCAAAATATTTTATTTTTTGCAATTTTTCAAAAATTTTATCGATTCCAATTTTTTTTATCGATACTGTTTTTTTGTCGATGTTTTTTTATCGATATTTATTTTTATTCAATATCTATTTATCATTGTTATCGATATTGATATTTTTTGTCAATATCGATATTTTCCTTTTTTTTTAATTTCATTTAATATTGATATTTAGAGCTAAGATATTTTATTTTTTGCAATTTTCGAAAAATTTTATCGATTCCAATTTTTTTTATCGATATTTTTTTTGTCGAGGTTTTTTATCGATGTCTATTTTTAATCAATATCTATTTTTTATTGTTATCGATATTGATATTTTTTGTCGATATCGATTTTTTTTCGATATCGATATTTTCCTTTTTTTTTAATTTCATTCAATATTGACTTTTAGAGCTAAAATATTTTATTTTTTGCAATTTTTGAAAAATTTTATCGATTCCAATTATTGTTATCAATATTGATATTTTTTGTCGATATCGATTTTTTTTCAATATCGATATTTTCTATTGACGTCAATTTTTTTGTATTTTTTTCTGTCGATATCGATTCAATTTTCTTATCGATATTTTATCGATAACTTTTTATCGATATTTTTTTCCATCGATATCGATTTTTAGAACTGAAATCGAAATCGATAGATTTTTATAAATCAGTATTGAAATATTGATTTATAATATCGATACCGCTTGAAACGTATCGATATTTTAAAAATATCGTATCGAAAATAGAAATATCGATATGTTTTACCTCGATTATGTATTCTTTTCCGTCTTTTCCTACTACGACTTCCAATGCGCAAATGTCCAAACCTCCGAACAAATCCGACATTTCGTCCAGCCACGTTTTGTAGCGTTCCGGCATCGATATTTGTTCCAGCATCGCTGACCCGGTGTTGGTTTTCCAATTACCTGAAAAACAAACAAAAAGTATCGATGTTAATAATCGATTATTTTGCCCATATCTACTGGATATGTATTAAAAAGAGTTTTTTTTTTTTAAAAATTAAAAAAGCGACTTTTTCCATTAGATTATCGATATCATTTTTAGAGATGGGCTCAACTATCGACATTGATCAATTTTTTTCCCAATTTTCATATTTTTTTGTATTTTTTGTAATACTCGTATTTTCTTAGAAATTTAATTTTTTTTTTGGAAATTTTGATTTTTCGTAAAAAAATTAATAAATTCACTTATAGAATCGATTTATGTCGATAGTTGAGCCCATCTCTAAAAATTATATCGATAATGTCGTGTAAAATAAATTTAATATCGATTGTAGACGTTTTTTTTTTTTTTTTAAGAAATAGTTCAATATCGACAAAAAAAATCATTTGCAACCAAAAAAATCGATATCGACCAAAAAAATGAATTTTGACATATTTTCATAAAAATGCCAAGGGATTTTGTTCGATCGATGAAGGAAAGAGAGGTAATCAGTTTTCACCAAAAATCGGTATCGACAAAAGAATCGATATTAACGGAAAATTGATACATTTCAACAAAAAAAATTGATATCGGCGAAAAAAATGGATATTGACAAAAAAAACGAATATCGACAAATAAATCGATATCGAAGTAATTTGATTTTTTTCGTTTTTTTTTTTCATTATTTTTAAAAAATAACGAATTTTCTCCAAAAATCGATATCGACATATATATATCGGCGAAATAAATCAGTAACGATGAAAAAAATTATATCGATATCAACGAAATAACGATATCGACAAAATAATTTAAAAAAAACAAATTTTGACAAATGACAATTGTTCGAAAACTAATCCGTGAAAATGTCGAGAAAAAAATCGATATCGACAGTATCGACTAAAAATTGATATAGACAAAAAAATTGACACTGACAAAAAAGAAGTTAGACGATATCGATAATTATTCGACTATTGACTAAAAAAAATCGACATCGATATCGACGATATTTTTTTTTTCTGCAGACACTTTTTGAACAAATTTATTTCAAAAATCGATTTAAAATGACAAAAAAACTGATTTCGGAAAAAAATCGATATATACAAAAAAATCGATATTGACAAAATAGATCGGTATCGACTAAAAATTTTGTCTATCAATTGATAGACAAAAAAAATTGACATGGATAAAAAGAAGTTTGATGATATCGATAATTAATCGATATTGCGTTAAAAAAATCGACATCGATATGAAAATTTTTTTTTTGTTTATTTTTTTGCAGACACTTTTTAAACAATTTTTTTCCGAAAATCGACATCGACAAAATAAATTTATATCGACAAAAAATAATAATATCGACATAAAATTTTTAAAAAAATCAAATGTTGACATAAATGCCAATTATTCGAAAACTAATAAATTCTATTGTGACAATATATAATTTTTACCAAAAATCTGTATTAATATCGACAAAAAAAATTGATATTGACAAAAAAATCGATGTTGACAAAAAAAATCGATATTGAAAAAAAAAATTGATATCGACAAAAAAAAAATCGATGTGTACAAAAAAATCGTATGTTGACTTAAAAATCGATATTGACAAAATCGATATCGACAAAAACTGTCAACGGTATTGATATTGACAGATAATGGATGACGACAAGAAGTACAAAAAAATATCGATATCGACAAAATAGTTCAATATCGACCAAAAAGATCATAATTGATTATGGACAAAAAAAATCGATATCGATAGAAAATTTGAAATAATTAAATTTTGACATTTTCCATTAAAATGCCAATTAGTCGAGAAGTCATCAAAAAGTGGGATTTTCTTTCTGGTCAATCGATAAAGGAGAGATATGTGCTAACCAAAAATCGATACCAACAACGAAAACGATATCGACCAAAATATTGATATCGACATCGACTTGAAAAATTGATATCGTCAAAATAATGAATATTGCCAAAAAATTGACAATGATATCGATAAAAATAATCGATATCGACAAAAAATCGAATATCGATATAATAAATTGATATCACCTATTTTTTTTTCTGCAAATTCTTTTGTCATTTATTTAAAAAAATAAACGAATTTTTCCCAAAAATGTATATCGACAAAAATTATCAACGTATCGATATTGACAAATAATGGATGACGACAAAAACGAAAATGAAAATCGATATCGACAAAATAGTTCAATATCGACAAAAAAGATAATTATAAAAAAAAAAAATCGATATCGACAAAAAAAAAATTGACATAATCTGTATCAGCTGTCAAAATTTAATGACAGTTTGAGATTGTGAAAAAAAATTGACACTTGTCATATGTCATTATTTTGACAATTGAATATCTTTTAATGTCCATTTAAATTGGAATTTTTGTAAAAGAAAAATCCTAACTCCTGTATCGTCAATTGCGAAAATGTCAAATTAACAAAAAAAATACAAAAAAATAAGAAAATTGAGAAAAAATCGATTGATGTCGATAGTTGAGCCCATCTCTAAAAATGATATCGTTATCGTCATGTAAAATAAATTTAATATCAATTGTAGACGATTTTATTTATTTTTTTGCGAAAATTGCGAAAAATCAAAATTTCCAAAAAAAAAAAAAAATTACAAAAAATACGAAAAAATAAGAAAATTTAAAAAAAAATCGATTTATGGCGATAGTTGAGCCCATCTCTAATTGATAATGTCGTGTAAAATAAATTTAATATCGATTATAGACGATTTTATTTATTTTTTTGCGAAATTTGCGAAAAGTTAAAATTAAAAAAAAAATATGTATAAATTATAAAGAAATATTAAAATTAGAAAAAATACAAAAAAATAAGAGAATTGAAAAAAAACCGATAAATGTCGATAGTTGAGCCCATTTCTAAAAATGGTATCGATAATGTAAAAAAAATTTAATATTGATTCTATGCGATTTTATTTATTTTTTTTGCGAAAATTGCAAAAAATCAAAATTTCCAAAAAAATAAATTAAATTACTAAGAAAATACAAAAATTACAAAAAAATAAGAAAATTGAGAAAAAATTAATGAATGTCGATACTTGAGCCCATCTCTAAAAATGATATCGATAATGTAAAATAAATAAATTTAATATCGATTCTAGGCGATTTTATCTATTTATTTATTTTTTTGCGAAAATTGCAAAAAATCAAAATTTTCAAAAAAATAAATTAAATCGCTTAGAATCGATATTAAATTTATTTTACATAACATTATCGATATCATTTTTAGAGATGTGTTCAACTATCGACATTTATCGATTTTTTCTTAATTTTCTTATTTTTTTGTAACTTTCGTATTTCTTTGTATGTAATTAAATTTTTTTTTTGAATTTTTTTTTTTTCTCTGAAAATTTTTTTGTTTCAATTTTCTTTTGAAAATTTATTTTTCTGAAAATTTTTTTTATGAATTTTTTTTTCTTAATTTTTTACAAATTTTTTTTTTGAAATTTTTTTTGGATTTTTTTTTTTTGAAATTTTTTTCAGAAACATTTTTTCAGATTTTTTTTTTTTGATTTTGATTTTTTTTTTAAATGTAAATATGTATTTTAAATTTTTTTTTTTTTTATTCTTTCAATTTCGTAGAAATTTCAAATATTTTAAACAAGAAAATTTAAAAAAATAAATTTTCAGAAAAAAATTTTCAAACAAAACGAATAATTTTCAAAAAAAAATGTTTCTGGAAAAAATTTCGAAAAATTCAAAAAAAAAAATAAAAAAAATTCAGAAAAAAAATTTAAAAAAAAAATTGAAAAAAATAAAAAAATTCAAAACAAGAAATTTGCAGAGAAAAAATAAAAATAAAAAAAATTCAGAAAAAATGTTTCTGAAAAAATTAAAAAAAAAAAAAAATCAAATTTAAATTTTAAAAGTAAAAAAAATTCAAAATAAATTTTTTTTAACAAAATTAACTTCCAAAAAAAATTAAAAAAAAATTTCAGAAAAGATATAAAAACAAAAATTTAAAAAAAAAATTCAAAAAATTCAAGAGAAAAAAAAAAAATTTCAAAAAAAAAATATCTGAAAAAATGTTCTAAACGAAAAATTTTTGAAAAATTAAAAAAAAAAATTCGAATAAAAAATTCATAAAAAAAATTTTCAGAAAAAAAAATTTTCAGAAAAAAAAAATAAAAAAAAAATTTTTTAACAAAAATTTTCAAAAAATATATTTTCAAAAAAAAAATTTTCAAAAAAGTTCGAGATGGAAAATTTTCCTAAAATAAATTTTTGGAAAAACATTAAAACAAAAAAATTTTCAGAGAAAAAAAAAATTCAAAAAATTTGAAATAAAATTTCGAAAAATCAAAATTTCCAAAAAAAAAAAATTAAATTACTAAGAAAATACAAAAATTACAAAAAAATAAGAAAATTGAGAAAAAAATTAATGAATGTCGATACTTGAGCCCATCTCTAAAAATGATATCGATAATGTAAAATAAATAAATTTAATATCGATTCTAGGCGATTTTATCTATTTATTTATTTTTTTGCGAAAATTGCAAAAAATCAAAATTTTCAAAAAAATAAATTAAATCGCATAGAATCGATATTAAATTTATTTTACATAACATTATCGATATCATTTTTAGAGATGTGTTCAACTATCGACATTAATCGATTTTTTCTTAATTTTCGTATTTCTTTGTATGTAATTAATTTTTTTTTTTGAATTTTTTTTTATCATAAATTTTTTGAATTTTTTTTTTCCCTGAAAATTTTTTTGTTTCAATTTTTTTTTGAAAATTTATTTTTTTGTCGAAAATTTTTTTTTCAATTTTTTTTCTGGAAATTTTTTTTATGAATTTTTTTTTTTTAATTTTTTACAAATTTTTTTTTTTTAATTTTTTTTGGATTTTTTTTTTTTGAAATTTTTTTCAGAAACATTTTTTCTGATTTTTTTTTTTTAGATTTTTTTTTTAAATGTAAA